AAAAAAAAAAAAAAAAAAAAACTGGCTATTAAGTTCAAAATGATTCACAATGAAGAACAAAATTTCTCAAGAAAATGATCCCTAATTCAAATTAAATCACTCACCAACTCCCTAAGTGTCTTGACGGGTACCAAGCTACTGATGATAACCATGACCCCTCGGCGCCTCTTCGAACTATCTGGCTAAGCAGCTTATGCTTCGATAGTAGAAACACCCTGAAATATATTTTTTTCTTCAAAAAAATTATTATGGCACAATAAATAATAAACTTCGCGTTAGTTACAATAGTAAAAATTTACAGGCATAATTTTTTAAGTTTTTTTCAAAAGCTGAACCTGAATAGTTCCTTTGCAGTTAATACTATTACCCATGTCGAGGCTCAAGTGTCCTTTAGCTATCTTCTGGCCGTACCATGCATTACGACCTAACAGAGTTACGTATGTGTCGGTAAGTTTTTCGGGATCTTTGAATAAATGAGTAATAAAGATCATTTCTGATGTACATTGTGCAAAATACCGATTTTCCCGTGGCACTTTCATTAGCCAAAGCTGCCACCATGCCTGGACAAAATAATAGAAGAAAGTTTTCTAAACCATCATCATAGGGATAATTACCAAAATTACCAGAGGTTTACTGAATTATAAGAATCATAAAGAAACCCATCTTTTCAAAACCCGAGTCATCATGAAGTTACCAGCTCCAATAGCATAAACATTTTTTCAAGCCTCCCATGAATTCATGTGTTACAAGGTCATATCTCATACGATGAACTGAGGCTGGCTTAAGAACTTTGTAAGAGGGAATCTCCATTTTTCGGCTCCGCATATTCAAGCATTCACATACTCTCGGTTGTATATCTCTGAGGCAATATTGGGCCCACCAACATACAAAATGTTCTCTATCGGCACACAATATTTTTTTTTTCAAACTGTTTCATTACTATTTTTGTATGTTCTTTTTTTTTCTTCAGCAGACAAAGCAAAAGATTAATTTAGGCCCGACAATTATTTACAGAAATCACAATAATTAATTATGCAATTACAACAATCTATTGAGAAACGACCACGATTTACCTTATCAAGCTTCTCGAAGGTGTTGGCCCGGCAGGTTTCCAGTCCTTCATGGATTTCCCAGCGACGTCGTTTAGCAATGATGGCCACCACACCGCCACTGGAGACGCACGTTCTCAGTCGGAACTCCGAAACCTCCACCGCTGAAGACGGCAACGAAACCTCTTCGCGTCCACCGCCTCTGCGACCAAACAAACAATGTATATTTTTTATTTTAAGGGGAAAAAAAAGAGAAAATTATGAATAATAATAAAATAAAAGGGTGACTTTAGAGACATGTGTGTCATATTTGTAAAGGCAACAACTGCAAACATCTATATATATTGCACTAAAAAAGATTTGTCCATTTCACGTTGCACGTAAATACCATAATAACCTCAGTTGTCGATTTCCATAGCATGTGCAGCTTCAGCTTTCGCCAATGGCGTCAGTGTAACACCCCACTTTATTTTTACAGAAATTCCGGACTTTTCTAAAAATCAGAACAAATAACACAT